TTAAAACACAAAAAAGTAATATGATATGAAACAATAAAAAAAAATTACTCAATTTAAAATTTTAATAAAAATTATATATTAATTTTAAAAATAAAAAATAAATAAATTTTATATTTTTATGTTGATACAAATTATAATATATAATTTTTGTGTAAAATACGATATTGAATACACTAATTATTAGTGTTTTATATGATATGAATATACTAATTATAAAGTCTATACCAAACAACCAAAAAATATAACAAGGTTTTGATTTTTTGAAAAATCTTTTTTCTCATTTTTTTCAACCGGTAAATAGTTATTTAATGATAAATTCATAAATAATTTATGAAAAAATGATTTTTTTTTGGGGCAACTGAAAAATGATTTATGAAAGTGGACCAATAATTTTTTTATCACATTGAACAAAGAATTTATACAATTTTCTTGATACTTGAGTAACTTTTTTTTTTTTTTACATTATATCTTAATTTACATGATAGTATAAGGTAGCTTTTCAAAAAAACTATTGATTAGAACTTGAAAACTTGAATTAAGGGATCTTATATCTAATCTTGATAATGTGAAATGTTAAAAAAAGCAATTGTATCAACTTTAAACCATTAGAATTGAATGCAAACTTCCACCGACTTAACATGGCATCATAGAAATGGCTCAATGGCATTAAGTGCTCATCATTTTTAATTTTTTTTTTATGTAAAATATCATTTCGAAATTAAATTAAATTCATTTTTAACTTTAATCAATGGCAAATTTTGTTTTTCAATTGTGAAGACATCATTGTTAAATTTTAAACTACCCTGACTACCATCAACAAATTGCTTTAAGTTTTTAAGGGTTAATTTAATATTGAGATTGAAAGTTCTTTTGGCATTCAAAAATTATTTTGATTCATCATCAATATTAAATAATAAAAAATATAAAATTTCAATTAAAAATTTTGATTTGTAAATCCAAACAAAAAAATTCTTAAATAAGTGCTTTTATGAAAAACCACAATTTTTAAAAATAAAATGATTTTATTATCTTTATATATCTACATTTTAATTATTTTATACATATATTTTTGAATATTTTGATTTACCAAGACACTTTCTTATAATAATATTAAATACTTAAAAATTTTAAATCATATTTTTTCACACTTTTAAACACAATTTTTTTTAATTCAAACTGTTTTTACCACAAAATTATCATGTTTTATCCAAACACTATAAAATGGGTGGGTAGGAATGCTTTGGAGTTTAGAGTTGAGGGATTGGCTCTTGTTCTAGGTTTAGATTTGATGACACGACAGGATAATTCATTTGGTTTTCAAATAATTAATTAATGATGCATTTGCTTTTCTAGTATATATGTCATATGATTTAGGTGAATGTAGTTTTCATACAACAGAAAGGTACAACGCCAGATCTACTTTCTTCCTAGGTTGCTTTGAGCCCACGCTCACCAAACGTCAACTTGCCGTCCCATTTCACTTTCACAGCTTCTAAATAAAATGTTGACGTACCCAATTCCTATGCAAATTCTTTGCCATAAATATTTATTTATATTTTAAAATCAAATGTTTGTAATTTTTTTATTTAAAGATGTTTTGATCCTTTTAAGATTTTGTTTTCTTAATTTTGATTAATTGAGGAAAATTGATTATAGAAAATGGAATTTATCGTAGCAAAAATTATTAATTTTTATTTATTTAATTGGGTAGACTTAACCAATTTTTAGGTTAATTCATTTATTAGAAAAATATATATTTTTATTTTTACAAATGTTAGATCTTAAAATAGACATCTATCTTTTTCTATTCCTATAAGAATTATCAAAAGTAAATTAATAGAAAATTATATATATTTTTTATTTTTATTTTTTACATATGAGAGTCTAAAATGAGAGGTAGGCAATTCAAAGATAATAATTGAATTATAAAATAACATATTTATTATTAATTCCAACTTTTGTTAGATTAAACATTTTTTTATTATCGAATCTAAAATTTAACTTAATTGATTTATACAATCATTTTTAACGTAATGTTTAGTGTAAGATGATTACTCAAAAAATTATGATGATCTATATATAGTGATTAAATCACCGTATTTGATAATCAGTTAATGATCTTATAAGACAATAATTTTAAACCTTCGAGAGTGATTAGATCATTATTTTAGATGGTGATTTAATTCCTATCTAAAAGGATTAAAAATTTTATCATCGGAGTAAAACGATATGTAAAATTAATAATAGTTAATATTATCAGTTTAATATGTGAATTAAAAACTTTATTTTTAAAATTAATTAATTATTTTTTTATATTATAATTTTTATAGTTTCAAACTAATTCAAAAATATTTTTTGTGATTTTTTAATTTTTTAAAATTTATTTATAAATGATCTTTTATATTTAATATATTAATTTTATTTTCGAATTCAAATATTTTTTTACATATTTATACTATAAAAACCAAGTTACTATTAATAAATATATTTTTAATTTAATAATTTAATTATATTTATTATGAAACAAATAAAATATTATTAATATTTTATATACAAATTATTATTTTTAAATAGCATTGAAATCGTTAACTTGTATAACTATTATAATGTGTATAGTTATTTTAATACTTTCAAACAAAATAATGTTTAATTTTTAGTAATAGCAAATACAATGTCTTTAATTACTAAAAATTAATTATTTTTAACTAAATAAAGTGATTGTAGATCATGAATGATAAGATCACCTTAACAACAAAATTACTTAAGTAATTAAATTACTTCAGTGCTATTTAAAAAGTGACATCCAATAAATTTAAAATTCGTATTTTAATATTTACAATCATTTTTTTATTTTTAAATTACCAACTCTTATGCATAAAAAAATTTTATCCTCAATGTCAAACATAACATAAAAAGTGAGAGAAGATATAAGAGGAGAAATATAGAAAAAACAACTCACAAATGGCAAATTGCAAAACATTGGGCCGTTGGGGTGTTCATATACTTAAGACCCTTTTGAGTTTAAGGTCCAGTCCTCTACCCTTTCTTACCCAAGCCCATATATCAGTGTGGGGAGCGGCCTAACATGTATTTTTAGGCCTTCTAAAGTGAAAATATTTTGGAGCTGTTGGTGAGAAATCTTGTATAATGATTTAGGTTTGATTAATTTATTTTTTCATTTTTTAGTATTCTTGAAACTATAAAGGAATCCATCTATTTTCAAGAAAAGTCCTAACGATAATAATTTTTAGTCTGTATCATCAAAATTACTTAAAATTAATAAGCATATATATATATATATATCTTATATAAATATATACAAAATAAAACCATGCAAAATTTTTAATATAGATGATCTATTTGTCGATGTGAGGAAGATCTTGAATAATTATAGCATGTCCTCCATTAAATTATTTCAGTTTAGTTTGGTTTAAATTTTACAAATTATTTTAAATAATAAACTATATTTCCTTTGCATTTTTAGTTTTCTTACATTTTACAATTACATACGAATATATAGTCTAATATCATTAGACATGTATAAGCATTAAATTATCAAATAAACTAATGGTAAAGTTTTTAGAATCTATAAGTTGGATTAATAGGGTGATACATACCCTTATGTATATTAAAAAATTAAAAAAAATTAATTAAAAAAAGTAGGATATATATTATTTTTTTAATCTCGCTTGTAGAATTAACATTCCACTAATATTATATCAAATAATTTTTCATAATTTAATTCTTAATTGTCAACTTGAATTTAGTTTTTAAAATTAAATTTGTATTAATTCTAGATTTTAATTAATTACTTTCAAAATGAATAGTTTAAATTTAGTTTGCAGATATAATGAAAAGTGAAATAAAAATGAAATAATTAATGTGTGCATTTATATTATTTACCATCAAAATATTTGGTCAACTTTTACCATCAAAATATATTTTTAATGATTTTTTTTATATGTAAGGAAAGATTTTATAAAGCACACAAGCTTTTTGTTTCTTTAATCTTACAAATTGTCATTATATTATTAACTTTATAATTGATTTATACATCTATGCACAGAGTTTAAAACTAATATATTTTAATTTCATTTTGACCTTGTCATTGTTTCCATTTGGCATACAACTTTAAGCCCAATTTCCATCCATAGATTCCGCCATCTCCTATTATTTTAATTTTTTTGTATTTTGTTTTTTCCTCCGAGGTTAGTTGCTTGCCTCGAGCTGAGTTTACTCTTCTTTTAAATATTTTCTACTCGTCGTTTTCTTGTATAAGATACGGCTAGTTGCTAGTATTATTTTAAAATGTTGTGCTATTCTAAACTTTTTTTTCTTGTCTTTTCTTTCTGGGTTTCCATGGAGTATTGAGTGCGTAAGTCTTGCCCTTTTTGAGAGAAATAAAAAAATTGCACGACATAATTACTCTTTGTCAATGTTTATCGTTTTAATTTAAATTATATCAAATAATAATATTATTAAAAAAATTCATTATTTATTATAATATATAATGATAAATATTTATTTAATAAATTTATTTATTTAAAGTGTAATATATAATTAACTTTTTTATTAACTTGATTATATAATGTAATTTAAATGAAAAAATTTATAATGCAATAATTATAATATTTCATGTGAAAATATTTAAAGAATTAGTCATGATATATATATATATATATAAATTTAAATAAATATTTATAAGATATTTTTTTATGAAATAAAATTGTAACATCTTTTCATTAAAATAGATAACATTTTATAAATCAGATGTAAATTTAACAATCACCAACTAAACATTAGGAGTTAAATACTATATTATAAAAACTACTTTTGATAAATAAATATTATTTGATCAGAAGTTAGGTGTTATATTACAAAAATTCATCTTTAAAATTAAGAAAAAAATAAGTATTTCATATCCTTTGATGTGATACTAATTCTAAGCATTCCATTTTAGACTTAAGTTTTAATGAAAAAATTTATGATACTTTATTCTCAATAGATTAAAGATCTTTGGGTTAAAACTTTGAAACCTAAGAATCAAAGCAAAGAATCTTCACTGGTAGAGTGCGGGTGTGCACAGTAACTATTTGATGCCATCCGTTCTAAATAAATGAATTGCTGTCCGGGGTCTCCTTCTTTGACTAGTCAATTTCAGTGGTACTACCTGCTTTGTGATAATATTAAATGCTTCTTTTACCAAGTTGTCTTCCTCATTACATATAGAGATATATGGAAGGTTTACATTTTCGCTGCTTTTACATGCATGCATCAGTTTTGTTTTTGAAGCTCATTTTCATGAAACAAAAACCAGATGGTCAACGGATATGGGGAAATCAGTTCGAACCATTTTGTTTGTCTTGTTGCTGTCTTCGTTTCTGTTTCTGGTCTTTTTGTTGTTTTCAGTTTCTAGCTTCTCTGATTCATCTCCGGGCCCTAAAAGCAGCTTCAAACCCAGCCCTGTCACGTTGCAGACCAGCCGCTTCCTTCAGTCTTTTCATGAGCTTTTCGTCGGGTGGGTCTATTGTTTTTGTGTTCTTCATTTGATTGATTCTTTTTTATACACGTTATGTCTTGATCCATAGTTCCATACAGACTATTTTTTGGGAAAAAGAAGCTCAATTTGATGTGTGAACTTGATCAGTTTGTTAATGATGTTCTTTCTAATAATAAGATTGTCACTTTGAATATTTCATTTTCTTGACCAGCCTAATCCCTCAGCAACTTAAATAAATAGTGTAAATTTCCTGATTTTCTTGAGTAAGTGAAATTGGGTAAACCAATAGCTCGTGGTTAGAAAGTTAGACTCTTAATTTTAGCAACAGTGTTTAAATCTTGGCAACTTTAAATAAAAAAATAAAAGAAAAAGTTAGCCCACAACCTTATTGTTGGTAGAAGATTCTTAATTCGTTGAAATTTGCAACCTCAATTATCCCAAAAAAAAAAAAGGGGGGGGGGGGTAGTGGTGTTGTGGCTCGAATCCAAAACATGGTGCCTATTTGTGATTGATGATTATCAATCCAGGAAATGATTGGCTTTCCTGATAAAATTACAAAAGTCATGTTATTAACCACTTTCATTGACCTCAAATGAAGACCTAAAAGTTGTGTCAGATTAACTGTGCAGATACAGAAACGGTGCAACTTCAAGTCCAGAGAGTTTACATGAGAAGAAAGGTAATTCTAATATGAGTAGGCCATTGAAAGAGGATTTCACATTTCCTACCGGTTCTGCTCCTTTCAACAGTTGTCATGCCTCTACCATTGTTGAGGTAATGCAATTCAATTGATTTAGTGTTTCCATTGCCAGCATCATCGTACTAAATTGTTGCTAATAATTTAATAAAATATATGAAGGTTGGTAAAGGTCACTTCTTGGTTGCTTATTTTGGAGGAACATCTGAAGGAGCAGCTGATGTGAAAATTTGGTTGCAGAAATATAAGGTAATTCTCCGCTTGCGCTATGGTTCCTTCCCCTGTTGTACATGTGTTTTAGTACTGGTTTATTTATGGTATGGTGCTGTTTATATTGATTGTAATGAAAACTTGTTTGGCAGGGTGGCCGCTGGTACCCACCTATTATTATGGATGAAGAGCCTAATGTTCCAATGTGGAACCCTGTACTATTTAAACTTCCATCAGATGAGCTGCTATTGTTCTATAAAGTGGGCTTGGAAGTTCAAAAGTAAATTTCTAACCTTTATGGTGTCCTATGATTTATTTGTGATCCATGAAGTTCAAATCTAACTATATTTTCTAGTTTTGCTTTTTTTTACTATATACATACTTACAATAAGTTTATTCACATTGTAAAGTTCACTTAATTTATTATTGCAGTTGAGTTGTAAATGAGATTACTATAGAATTTAGCTATAAGGTGTGAGTCCTTGCCATGATATTGTATACCCGCACAACATTAGCAATCGAAGCTATAATTTTGCCAGAGTTTTGAAAACCATTTAGATTTGAGAACTCTGTTTTCTTGTATTGTTTCTCAAATATGACTACATATTCTTTGCTTCTGGTATTAATATCCTATTCCACATGTCATTATGGTATGTGAATTTAGTTGAAACTGAAAAGTCCTCGGTACATTTTCTTGTCCTGTCTTACGGTTGGCTTTGTAAAATGCAGGTGGAGCGGGTGCATGAAGCGATCATATGATAAAGGTGTCACTTGGACAAGGAGAGAACAGCTTCCTCCTGGAATACTAGGACCATCTAAGAACAAGGTAGGTATGATTATAAAATTTACTATGACCTACATTCCAATTCGTTGTGACTTACGAAAAACTTTGATAATATGTCCTCATCATGTTTGCCATTCACTCACCTGCAGCCTCTCTTGTTGGGGAACAGGCTTTTGCTATGTGGATCCTCAGTGGAGAGTTGGAATTCTTGGGGGGCATGGGCTGAGGTTGTAATGATGATTTCAAATACATGAGCAGTTAGAATCTTATCATGTTCAAAAATGCGACTGACATATTTTTCTAAATCACATGCAATAGGTTACAGAAGATGCTGGCAGAACCTGGAAGAAGTATGGTCCTATATATGTTAAAAATGAAACTCTCAGTGTGATTCAACCAGTTCCTTTCCTAACTGCAACAGGCACCTTGCGTTTTTTATTGCGCTCCTTTAATAACATTAGTAGAGTTTGTATGGCAGAATCATTTGATGGTGGACAGAATTGGGGTTTTGCCACACCTACTGAGCTCCCCAACCCAAACTCAGGTTGGTATGACAGGTTGTGAATTCCTTTGGTTTCAAATTCTTTTGAAAATTTAACTTGTTCATTGAGATTGGCAACCGTGGTAAATGAAAAGGAATACTATTGGCTTTTTTTTTTGTTTTTTATGCCATATATCTTGAACATTGTTTATCAGGTATCGATGGCGTCAAGCTGAGAGATGGTCATCTGTTACTTGCTTATAATACAATCTCAAGGAGTGTGCTTAAAGTTTCCCTATCCATAGATGATGGTGATTCATGGCAGGACAGTTTGACACTGGAAGAGACACAAGGAATGGAGTTCTCATATCCCGCTGTCATCCAGGCTAGTGATGGATTAGTTCACATCACTTACACGTATAATAGGACCCAGATTAAGGTAACAACCTGGATTCAGATATGAGAAATGGATTAATTCATTCCCTTTCCCTTATTCAGTTTCACCAGAAAAAGTCATTTCATTATATTTTCTCTTGCTTACTTGAGCTGAAATTTGTTTTTGCAGCATGTTGTTCTTCAACCAAATTGACCCAGTGGTTTATATTCCTCTGTCAGTCAGAGAAACCATTGTTTTAGAGCGCTGCGTATAACCATCAGCTACCTGTATCCCCTCTTTCATTATTGAAACTATCTGCTAGTGCCATAACTTTTGATATCTTTGTAATGTTTCATCCTAAGGATAGGCTTCAGTACTGTAGATTCAATGGCAACTTGTTTTGATGGACTACAGCATCACTTGCATGTCCTTGAAGATCCTCTGGAGCCTGGAGGGCATTAAGCCGCCACTCTTTCTTAGCAATATGTTTGGAAAAAAGGAAAATGAGTTCAAAATATTCAACTAAAATAATTTGTACCATATCCAATATTTTGCTTGAATGTAGCTTCAGACAGAACAGAATACAGGTATCATTTAATTAAAGTACCATATATATATTTATAGATATTATATTTCAACATCAAGTAATTGCAATGTTTTATATTGCCAAATGATCAGGTGCCTGATGAAAGTGTTAGGAATAGTGACTCAAATTCCATAAAAGATTCGTTTGGGATTAGCTAGATATTGCTTGATGGACAAGAAGACTTGCAGAAGAAGAATTCTAAAAGGAAAGAGATTGATAAGTTTGACTTGCAGAGAATAATTCTAAGAGGAAAGAGATTTTTAATAGGCAAGTTTGTATGTTTATAAATAGATGAAGTCTTTACAGGGTTAGATATGGGAAAAAAATGTAAGAGAGTTGTATGGTTTTATAAGATAGACAACACAGAGGAGTACTAGAGATTTATGTCTTATGCGTGTGTATGTTTATATATGTGTATGTTTATATGTTTGTGAGTGGATTAGAGGAGACTAAGAGGGTTCACATATATATGGTGCATAGGAGTGAACTAGAGGAAATTGGGAGGGTCTACATAGGTATGATGAATGGGTATATATGGATATATGTTTGTTTGTGTTGAAAGGGTGCACATGAGTATGTGTTTGTTTGGATTGAGAATACTCCATAGGACGAAAGTAGATTGAGAGGGTATATGGGTATTAGTTATGAGTATTTGATTTGAGTTGTATGTTTATAATTCTTTACAACTAATGAATCTTTTTTTTTCATATGTAGACGTAGATCAATTGGGTCGAATTACATTAAATTATTGTCTCTTATGTAATTAATTGATTGTATGGTTTTGCTTTCGTTGGCTTGATTGGTAGAGGTTTTTTGCCTAACAGAAAGATGGAGTAATAGAACTATAGAAACCCTCGTTTTCCTGTCCTTTACTAACTTCAATGCTAGCATAGAAATAGTGTAAAGGAAATCATACATTATATATAATGCAGTTTCCTTACTATAATAAATACAACAGTGTTCTCAATAGAAAAATTAAGGCTTTCCCAGACTGTTTTATCATATGCTTGTTGAATCTCGAAAGCATTGAAGTAAAGCTGGAACATGTCATACGAGGAAAAAAACTGGGTGATCTTCTCTAAGGCTTCAACATTACAAGATGCTGCTTTACTAGCTATTGAAGCATTGAGTCTCAGAGAATCTTCATACATAGAGTGGATTTGAAGTCAATCTAGGCAAACAGTTTTTGCTAAATTTAAAGCACGCATTAGAGATAAATAAAGCACCATTTCTGGTACAGAAATTAGAAGGTTAACATTAATGTTTGTTAGTTCTCTTTTCTTTTGTAGTTGTTTATAAAAATAAATTTCTTATCAGATGGTTTAATTTAGAACTAATTTTTTTCACATACATATTCTGTTTTGATTATATATTAATAATTTTCTGGGGGGTTTTAAGTTACCTTACAATAATGATTAAGATGCATATTGTTTTTGGACGCTTAATTTGTAGCAAAAGCACGCATACTAGGACTCGAATGCTGTTCTGTTTCTATATCCTTGATATTATGAAACAGACTAGCACTAAATTATTGTTACTCATGAAACTCTGATAACAGCTCCTGATCATCTTGCTGGAAAATGGGCTTTTGCACTGTGGATCATCTGTAGAGTGTCGGCATTCTACAAGAATAGGCTTTTTTGTTGATGATAGCCTATTGTTCGCGAAAGCTAACAAGAAAGAAAGTGAAAGGGTGAAGGACATGCTAAAGAAATATCAAGAAAGTTCGAGGCAGTTGATTAATTTTGAGAAATCCATTCTTTTCTTCAGCAGCAATACAAGATAAGAACAGAGAAATAAAGTGAAGGACATATTTATCTCAAGTCCAGAAAAGTATCTTGGGCTTCCAAAAATGGTGGGGAAAGGAAGAAGAAGAGCTTTCGGGGACCTAAAGGACCGAATCAGGAAAAAAAAAAGGTACAGTGTCGAGCCACTGAGTACTATCAAAAGGAGGGAAGGAAGTTTTTATAAAAGCAATGCTGCAGGCAGTCCACTCTTATGCAATGAACTGTTTTGCGTTACCAAAGTCTTTATGCGAAGAAATAGACAACATTTTGAGCTCCTAATGATGAAGCAACGGAAAGAAAAAGAAACAAATACACTGGCTAAATTAGAGCAAGATGTGCAGGCAAAAAGTGTAGGTGGTATGGGCTTTCCATCTCATGAAAGCTTTCAACAAGGCACTAATCTGCAAACAATGATAGAGATTGTTGAAAACAACGTCATTATTGGCCTACAGAGTTTTGAAAGGAAAATATTTCACAAACGGGAAACTTCTGGAAGCTGAGCAGGGGAATAGCCCATCTCTCACCTGGTGCAGCATTTGGGAAGCATTAGACCCACTCAAACGGGGGATCCGATGGAGAGTGGGTACAGGAGAAAGAACGAAAGTTTGGAAAGACATATAGGTGGAAGTTTGGAGAGAAAGAAAACATTTAGAACTCAGGGAAGGGCTGGATAAGAGTCAACATGTGAGTGCACTGATTATTACTAAGACAAAGAAATGGAATAAAAAGTTGGTGTATAGCATGTTCACGAATGAGGAAGTTGATGCCATTTGTGCCCTTCCAATAGGCACACAAAACCAACCAGACACACTGATATGGCACTACAATAACAATGGGATATACTCTGTCAAAAGCGGCTATAGACTCCTAAGAGAGGACATGATGAATATGGATGCTGAACAAAACATAAATGAATGGGATGGAGCCCAATGGAGAGATTGTGGAACACGAATATACCAAGCAAAGTGAAGGTTTTTGCATGGAGGATGATACACGAAATCCGGCCAGTAAAATAAAAGTTAATGAGAAAGAAGAGAATTGAAGAAGAAGTTGCCCAAGATGTGAGGAAGATAGAGAATTGGTAATACATGCTTTACGTGACTGTCCTACAGCAAAGGAGACTTGGCAATAATCTGGGGTTGCATGGGTGATGGGGGATGATATTATCCACAATACAGGACACTGGATAACAAAGGCTGTTGAGAAACTTGATGCAGAAAAGGTTGGGAAATTCCTCATAACAACATGAGCAATATGGAACAATAGAAATGAAGAAGTGCATGGAGGAACCAAATGAAGCCCACAACAAATTGCATGTTTTGCGGTATCGTATTTAAAGGAATTTAAAGGAGCTTAAGTGAAAAATGAGAATCGATGCAATACTAGATGCGAAGGCTAGAAGGCACCAACTGTAATGGAGGTGAAAGTAAATTTTGATGGGGCTTTCAACAAGAATTTGCAAGTTAGAGGAGTGGGGGTAATAATAAGAGATCATGAAGGGGAATATTGGGTGCTTTAGCAGCAAAACTGCAAGATGTCCAGGACGCATGAAAGTTAGGCAGTGGTTAAAGCTTTAGAGCTGGCTAAAGATTTGGGTTTCTAAAAAATCGTACCGGAAGGTGATGCCTAGGAATGATTAAGAAGATGGAAAGTGCAGAAATGGATTTTTCTCCTTGCGGCAATGCTAAGCTGCTTTTTAAGTCACACAAGATGAAGGGTAATATGGTAGTGCACAAACGTGCAAAATATGAGTATCAGGTAGAGACCGATGTAATCTAAGTTGCGGAATGTCTTAGTTTATCGACGAAAACTGTTGGAAAGATTGTAACAAATTACAAATTTAGACTCTGAAATTGATTATGGTGAGATTGAAAATAATAATAAAATTTATTTAAATTATGATTGAAAAAAAATTATTATTATTATTATTATTATAATAATTTAATAAAAAATTTATATTAATTTAATCTCATTAAAATTGATATTTAAATTTAACTAAAAATATGATCAACTTAATCGCACCATACTAAAAATACAATAAAATTCAAGTGGAGACTTAGTCTAACAAATACTCATTCTCAAAAATAAAAAAAATTAATATTATATCTAAAAACAAGCTATTGGTTGTACATTGAGATTTGGATTAAACAAAAGATTTTCTACAAGTTACATGTTAATATTTTTTAAAATATGCTCTTATACATCAATGATAAAATTTAAATTTCATAAACAAAATTAGAGGATCGTAAGATATTTGATTATGTTATATTTGTAAAAATAAATAAATTAATATAACAATAAAAATGGATATATAATAATATTTTAATCTTATTTGTAAAATTTAAAAATTTTAATATCTAAAATAATTTTACTTGTACTTTTTGGGCATCCCATTAAATTGAAAGTTGTTTAATTTACAATGTAGTTGCCTAGTCTACCTTCTACATTGATGCGAAGCACCTGGTGTTAGAATAAAAGGCAATAAAGAACATTAATTTATCTATATTTATTATATATAAAATGTCTAATTTTACAAGTGCAAATAATGAACTATATATATTTTATAATTTTTAATTAAAATCTTTATTAAATTAAAATATAGGTTACTCTTTATATGTTTTCTTATTAATATTGAAGTCCTTAATTATTAAAGCAAACTTTCCTTGATCATTTTCTTTTTAAATTAAATATTGACAAATTTTATGTATTTATTTCCTATTTTTCTTGAACTCTTTTATTTCGGATTGGTAGTTGACCATTTCTTAATACCAAAAAGCTTCCATTTCCATTTTTTTTAATCACATCTACATCATCAGACTTATTGCAAGATGTTTGCTGCAATAATTTAAGGTTTGAAAATTTTCTAGCAAGAACAAGTAGAATAAAATAATGTTCGTGGATGGACCTTCATAAATGAATATGATTTCGAAGAATTTATGCCCTAGGACTTTTGTTCTTTTGGGCACAAAATACTTATATGCTATCTTCACATTTGTTGTCCCGGAAAGAAGAGAAAGTGGAAAAAAAATGTTTTTGGTGCATGGGATGGGCATTGCTTAATGGGTGAAAAGGAAACTGTTTTGATTGGAAACCAAAATTTTTATATATTTTTCAAAAATTCTTTAGACATTAAATCAAAGAGCTAAAGATTAAAAAAGTTCTTTTATCTTCAATGGAGAACTTTAATATTTTAAAATTTATGCATCTGTTCTAGAGGTTTTGAGTTTAAATTTTGAGATGAATTAAGTGTTTTTGTTTCACATAATATTACATGCTATCTTTAGTTGTTTAAGGTACAGAGATAATATTTGGTGTATAAAATGATGAGTAAAATAAGATAATAATTATTTTATATTAAACTTAATTTGTATCTATAGAAAAAAATAATATTATAAGA